ATGTTTTATGCAATTGTAAACAGGTGCAATGGTTGCCATACGGCAGCTTCAGCCCAGATGCGATAGAGCCGAGGACTCTTTATAGCAGATTGATTCGATACCGCGATGTCGTCAAGCCGTACTTGCCTGCGCGGTGCCTGCGGCAGTTGGGGTATGTCCAGACTGTCCCTCCCCCTATACACGCCAATAAGTGCAGTACGTGCTTGGGAGTCTAGGAACTACAAGGTTGAGCATTCTGAGGCTGCTGCAGTAGGTGCTTGGACCCAGTTCCCAATTTCTGGGACGGTCAACACCGGTATGTTGACCCCCACCACACAGGATCGCGGGGAGGCGACTGAGGATTGCCTGCAGTGGTACAGTCGGGTTTTCCATCCGACTCTCATGGGCGAGGAGCTGCCAGACGAGAACGAGGTCCCTACGAGTGTCAATACCGCCTATGTAAGTTGGTTACTAAATTTCAATTAATGTTATTTCATTACAATAATTTTTGTTTAATAAATTTTAGTCTTATCTTTTTATTCTTACATTTTTTTAGTGGGTGGACCATCTTTTGGGCATTACATCGACCATGCAGCAGTTCCTTGTTGAATGTCCGGAGGCGGCGCAAGTCGAAGAAGATTTTGCTAAGTTTAAGTTGGATTACGACAATGCCTGATAATGATGTAATGAATTTTTTATTTTTTTAATAATTATTATTGTAAAACATTAAGTTGAATGATTTTTTTTATTTATTATTTGTAAGACATTAAGTTGAATGGTTTATATTAAAAATGACAAAAAAGTACCATTAATGCGATTTTCGATTGCCCTGTAACACGAACGTATGTTCCTGCGCTTCGAGACAGGCTCGTTCTCCTGAGAGTCCCGATGGGTCGACTTAGGAGAACGAGCTTGTCTCAAGCGCAGGAACATACGCTCGTGTTACAGGGCAATCGAAATCGCATTAATGGTACTTTTTTTTGTCATTTTTAGTACATTAATCATTCAAAATAATTTTTTTTTTTTTTTGCTAAACTTAAGTAAGTTGAATGAGATTTTTTTTTCTTATTGTAAATCATTAGGTTGAACTGATTCATTTATTTTTTTTTATTTGCTAAACTTAAGTTGAATGAGAAGCGTCATACCACAAGTGAATAATATCGTTCTTTTATTCAAGAAGGATTTGTTTGAACAGTATACCACAATCGCAATCTAGACTCGTACTGATCCTCCCAACCCACAACCGATTGATCACGGTAACGGAACCACATGGAATGAATAGGTGGTAATGGACAATCATCAGTCAAATCTAAACGAATGTAGTGTGCTACGGTACCAAGATGGCAAATGGCAATCTCACGACATGGTCCTCTAGCTGATGATCGTGCAATGAGAGGCAACACTGTGATGCTGAGTAAGTCGTGATGCCCACCTTGTGCACCAGAGCTCAAATGAACGACAACCACAATAAATAAGCTCGCAATGGCATAGAGGTCCTGCGGAACTTCGAACCAGTGAGTCCGTCCACAAGGGCCCTTCCCCCACCTTACGCGACGGAGTCCGGCCTCGATATCTCTAAAATAGATGTACTCGTACAATTCAGGGTTGCTGTTGACCTCCTTCGCAATGCTTTCTCTTGCTTCTGTTGAATTAGTTTTCTTGGGACGACCTCGAGGGTCATCCTTAACCTCAGGTTCCGCATAATCCTGTTGGTCTGGGTAAAGATGACTGTACATGAACTGATTCACGTACCGCATCGTCGCGGGATTGCGGGTTTCAACCTCACTCACAAGCGTCTGAAAGAACTCCGCATCTGACCATGCAGCGTGGCTCGCCTGGCTCTGATGACCAGTCCCTACAAGTATACGATAAAAAAGTCAATGAATTAAACCAAATAATGTATTTTAATAGAAAATTATAAATAAAACATTAACCTTAAATTACCTGGCTCTAATATCTGGAGCGTTCTCCAGAACTGGTGAATCATTCCGAGATCAATCAAAATGTTGAAATCAACTGCGTTACGGAGAAGACAGGCACAAGGAAGTCCATGAGTGAGCTGCAATACACAGCCGCAGCTAGTGTAAACATCGGAGTCCAAGCCGTGCATCCTCGTAAGCTCAACGTCCAATAAACTCAGACAGTAATGCGAGACCCTCAGTATCACGCTCGCGAAAAGGATTCCCTTATACCGTGTATTCTTCTTAGATCTCGAGGCCTCAAGCGCCGTCCTGATAATACGTTACATAACGTTAGATTATAATTAATTAATGCAGTAATATAATAACGCATTTAAAAATTGCAATACGTACTTGATTTCAGTCACTTGATTATCGATGTACTTATTAATCTTCTGCCAAATTGTATCGAGCGCGCCGGTGGGCATCTGAAGCCACTCCTTCAACACAGAGTGGGCACTCTCCACCCTACAGGAAGTTGTGTTTCCAAAATGTGTCACTCGGTTGGTCCAAGCCTTCACAAACTTCTCGCGGTGCCCTAACCATGTGCCCTCCACATACCGTATCACCTCTAGAGACTTCGAATATTTTGCGTGCAGCTCGGCAATGGCATCGGTGTAGGCATCGAACGTACTGGCCTCTGCAATCGCCTTCCACGTACTGTGCGTGAAAATCTCCGAGAATTTTTTACTCTTCCCAAATAATTTGTAGGCTCTGGCTTCCACATCCTTGTCGATGTGCCACGTGCAGAGTAAGTGGGCTGATTCAGGAAAATGCCTCTGAATAGGAGTGAGTAGACCCAACTCTCTGTCACTGACAACAACATAAGGATATACGTCTTGGCCTATCAGTAGTCTCAACTTCTCTAGAACCCAGTCGCAACTGGCCTCTTTCTCGTCCCTGATGAGCGCATACGCAATTAGGAAGTTCTGGTTGCACGGCGTCATCCCAATCATCTCGACCAACGGCATCTTGTACCTGTGCAAATGAGACCAAGAAGACAAAAAATATAATCAAATAAAAGTTTACTTAATCAAACACACTATTTAAGATTCATACTAATAAAGTATTTATAAAGTAACATACCTGTTGGTTTTATACGTGGAATCTATGCCGACATACCAGTGATATGTCCGGAATAGATTTATCGACGCAGGATGGGCCATGAATATATGCGTCAACGCTTTCGTGTCCGGATCGGATTTTGCATAAACTGTATACTCGCTGCTCACGGCCAAATGCATAAGCTGGGAAGGAACGTCTCTACCGTCGAAACTCTCTTTCCGCAGCTTATTTCTAAAGTTATATACCTGTCACCGATTAGCGTTAATTATAATGATTATTATAATTTAAAAAAAATATTATGTTAATAAATAAAAAAGTATATTAATGCGATTAATTTGATAAAAAAAATTTAGCTATTACAATAATAATACATTAGTAAATATAATAAAATTTATTAACTATTACAATAACTTTTACATATAAAATATTACTAATTATCATAATTAACTTCAAAAAGTTAATTAAAACATATATTACAAGATATAAATATATATACCTGTCGCACATGAACGTTGTCTCTCGGATTCTTTTACTTCAGCGCGGCCATAATTTTTGCCGGGGCTACCTGAGCGTCCGTCATATCACGAACAATTTTCTTAGATGAAGCGCTGAGGCCGCTCAACTGACGATGTCCCTCAGGATACACAACAAATGTATGGTTATGGTAGCCTTTCTCTTCATTGCTACATCTACAGATCCTCCAATATGGAGCGTCGGACACCTTTTTTACTTTGATCTCAAAATTGCAGCCGCACTTATTCGTTTTTGTTTTTCTAGAATTTCCGCCTGTGTCTCTGTACCGTTCGCCTCTATGGCACTTCAAAAGTCTGACCGTTTTCTTTTTGTGGCTCGAAATTATTAATAGGAAACCATTCAGCATTGCCTGGTGTTTTGCAGCTTCAATAGCGTCCTGAGCACTATTATATAATGTACATGTATCGAAACGCAGACTGTAATCAACACCATCTCCTCCAAAATCTTCCCATGACTCTTGCTATATAGTACAATATTTATATTTTTAGAACATGTTAAATTAAGATAATTAATTCTAGCATGTAACATAATAATTTGTAACTCATAACATGATATTATCTAACGTCCAATTTATAGCATAATGAAGTCTAACATGTAACACAATAATTTGTAACTCCTAACACGATCACGATAATATCTAACGTTCAATTTATAATATAATCAACTACAACATATAACATAATAATTTGTTACTCCTAACACGATACTATCTAACGTCAATTTATAACATAACCAAGACTAACATGTAATGTAATAATTTCTAACTCGTAACACGATAATATCTAACGTCCAATTTATATTATAATCAACATGTAACATAATAATTTGTAACTCCTAACACGATAAACGTCCAATTTATAGCATAATCAAGTCTAAAATGTAACATAATAATTTATAACATAATAATATGGTCCAATTTATAACATAATTATTTCGAATATATAACATAATAATTTTAAAAAAAATATTTGTCCGGCCGGCCGAACCGGACGGACCGGTTCCGACCGGCCGTCGTTTTCGGACGGCTTTTAAGCTGTCCGGCCGGCCAATTCGGACAGGGCCCGTCCGACCGGCCGAACTTTTCGGACGGCTTTTAGCCCGTCCGAACCGGCCGGCCGGACGGGCTAAAAGCCGTCCGGTTCTGGCGGCCGGACACAAAAATTTTCGTACCTCCGAATTTGACGACATTTCACCGTACACTGTCCTCTGAAATATTTAGAAAAAATGAGAAGGACAAAATTGTCCAAGAAAAGCGGTGAATAGTAAAATGGGGGCCGTAAATAGTACCACCCTTTTTACTAACAGCACCATACGATTTTCCCGGGTGCAATATAAATTCTCGATGACGCGCCTCGTCCAATGACAGCCTTCCACGTAATAAAAACTCCTCGTTAACCGGTTATGTCCGGTCTCCTCACCCACCATGTCACCACCCCGCAGCGAGATTTCACCGGCTCAGAAAGTCACCAATTACTATAACAAAAGGATTTTGAGCTTACCTTGTTATTCTCGATCCCTTTATTGCTTCCTTTGAGCAAATTCGTTTATTTTTCTCTGTGATCTTTCTTTTTCGTGCTGAGTAAAGAGTGGGAAGACGAGGAAAGGATGTTTCTTTTGGATTGGTTTTATGGTATATTGGCGTCGTTGGGGCTGTACCACAAGGAGGCCAAGATTTTGTTTCTGGGTCTCGATAATGCCGGAAAAACTACCTTGCTCCATATGCTCAAAGACGAGGTTTCTTATACTCGTGCTATTTCCTATTTTTGTCTACTCTGTCCTCTTTTTGATCAACAATTTCTTGCTGTATAGGTGTACTTGCTATTTTTGTTGGATGTGTGTCTGTGTGTTTTCATGTCTTCTTATTTTGGTGTTGGACTATTTTTTATTGAAATTATGAGCATATGTTTGTAGTCACTGAGAAATCAAGAGAACTTTTGAAGCTATCCATTTGTCTGTTAATTTCCTATAGAAGCTAAAATTCTGTTCAAATGGAAGCTTGTAAGTTAATTCGACTGAAAAGGGTTATTCTTGTAAAAAGCCGTATTTGTTAAAACAAAGTATTTTGTGGGCAAGTTGTAAAAACTTTAATCATTAAAATGTTGATAAACTATTTTTTAGGAGAATCTGAGAAGCAGGGTATGTTTTTCTAGTGGCAATTAAAACAATCTATTTAAAATAGATTTTGTGTGCAGAGGCTGGTGCAACACCAACCAACTCAGTATCCAACATCTGAAGAATTGAGCATTGGGAAAATTAAATTCAAAGCTTTCGATTTGGGCGGTCACCAGATTGCTCGAAGGGTCTGGAGGGATTATTATGCTAAGGTTAATATTTATTTGCACTATCAGAAATTTCTCTTTTATGTCCCCTTCGTCTCTAAAGTACACGGTGAATTGTGGAATTGGTTCTATGTGTTGCTTTGGAGGTTTGGGGTTTATTGAGCATGAGATTTCTTGTCCTGACCAGAATTTTATGTGCTAGTATAGGAATTTTGAATTGAGCCGTAATTTTTTCTCGTGTATTTACGATACTGAATGAATTTGTTGATTGCCTATGTTTACTGGCATAGGTAGTGAAAGCTCGAGGTCTGATTTGTAAATTGTTGATAGAAGTGATTCTTAGCTTTTAATCTGAATGTTGCTCACATTTCAGCTAGAATGTGAATTTGAAAAATATCTTCCGGCAATTCGTAATTTCTAAGCCCTTCATTCATGACAAAATTTGCTTGTATATACACCCATATGATATTATTTTTATGTATTTTTACCTCTGATAATGCAAGCATATAACTTTCAAAACCCCCTTCTCATTCATAGAAAATTTTCAGACTTGTGATTCATCTGAAAATTTTCAGACTTAGCTATTTGGTCCATTACAAAATCTTTGGTTGCTGCAATCATGTTTACATGTTGTTTTAATGACAAACATATATAAATTCCTTAATAATCAACACGTGTTGTAACTCATAGGTTGATGCTGTGGTGTATCTTGTGGATGCGTATGATAAGGAAAGATTTGCGGAGTCTAAAAAGGAGCTCGATGCCCTTCTCTCAGACGACTCGTTGGCTAATGTCCCCTTTCTCATCCTCGGGAACAAGATTGATCTGCCCTATGCAGCCTCGGAGGATGAGCTGCGTTACTACATGGGCTTGACGGGTTTGACCACAGGCAAGGGCAAAGTCGACCTTTCAAGCACAAATGTTCGCCCCCTTGAGGTCTTCATGTGCAGCATTGTACGGAAAATGGGTTATGGTGAGGGCTTCCGGTGGATGTCTCAGTACATCAAGTGATGCATTGGGGCTATCGAAAACAACTTTTTTTCACATGTGAAATATCTTGTGTTCAGTTGATGAAGTTGGTAACATAGATTGCAAAAGTGTGGGATGTTTTTAATTTATTATATCTTGTCCTTGCCTTTGCCTAGGTAATTAACAGTTGCGAATTTCTGTGTCTGAGTAAGAAAACCCTCGAGGACAAAGTCATGTAACAAATGCTCCTCTGAATAGTTGAACATGGTAACTACATATAACTTTAAGGATGTTTGTATATGCATCATGCATTCATTATTAACACAAGCCTGCACTTGAAGCTCAATCGATCCTCTTTCTCATGACATGGTTGCATCAGGATGAAAAAGCCCTTCATATTCAAGCTGCCGAGAGAGAGAGAGAGAGAGTATCAAACCATCGACAAGGAAAATGAATAAATACTAGAAAGAAGAAAAAAAGTTAAAGAAAAGGCATTATTACCGTGGCTTTATTATGTTCCAATTTCATCCTCCTATAATCTTCTTGAGCTCGTTTTGATCGAAACATAGCTTGGACCCTAACGACCGATCTCTCTACACGCTCCTCTGCTTGTTTCCTGCTGGCCTGGAAGAAATCCTCTTCAGGGTCACTTTCCACATTCGGATCCTTAAACGTGACATCTCCCGGTTGAACCTGAAGCCCACGGAAGCCTTTTCTCTTGAGGCGCCAGCGCAAAATCGCTTTCTCGAGAATCCCAACCGACCACACAATCTTGTGGTACTGTCTCCGAACCTGGAAACCCCTGAATGCGGCCTGCACTTGGGGAAAACGGAAATATTTGATCAGACAGAAATATTTGCCAACTCCCTATCATCTTGAATCAACAATCCACTCCAACTAAAGAGCCACATACACAACCAGTTTCTAGCTCGAGTGGGTCAAAAGTGTTGGTGTGGGGATATATGGATCAAATGGTGTATCTCATGAATCTTAATTATATTTTGATTACAATAGTGATTAGAATACAATGCCTTAATATTTGGTCACAAGCCTCTGGGCGTTGCACTAAAAATCGGCTTAGGCGGCCGCCTCCGATTTGCATAAATCGGCTGAAAAACAGGCGACTAGATGGGTTCAGCAGCTTTTTATTTATTTTTTTAAAATACTAAATACATTATTTTGTTATCATGTTTTCTTTATAATATATTAATATTATTATTTGGACTTAGGTGTATTGATTTGTTATAAGTTAGAGTTTTTATTTTGTAGGTGGTGAAAATAAACAACAAAATAAGGTATTTAATCTTAATTTCCAGGCCCCGCCACAAATCTTGAGGATTGATAATAATTGCAAAAATCCAATGCACATTCAGCATTATTATAGACTATAGAGACCTGAATCCTTATGGCATGACGGCGCATGTTGAGAAAATCCCTCCTTATCTTCCACGACCTAAACCTGTACTGTATCCTGAGAGCCGCGGCCATCTGTTTGCGCGTCTCGTAACTGCGGAAGGCGTGCTGTATTTTCATGGCCGCCACTATGCTACGAGCCTCTGCCTCCGTGTCGCAAGCCGCCACGGCCGCCGTTTTCCGCACCTTGAACGAGTGCTCTCTGAACGCCGCCTGTATGCGAGCGGCAGCATCGGCTGCCGTCCGGTAGGCCGCCAGCGTGTCCTTGAGATACATCTCTTCTTCATCCCTCACACTGATGACATCATCACTCGCTCGGCTATGGAGTGTGCCGCTAGCATTTCCAGCAATCGTCATCTCGTTAAACTGCGTCACCAAAGACTTCTCTGCAAGGTACCCTGCCAGGCCGTCGTGACCGGTTTTCGAGGCCAGGTCAGCGGCCGTGTGCCCGCCGGGGTTTTCTGAGGTGGGGTCCGTCACTAGGTTCGGCTTCGCGCCAGCGGATAACAGTGCAGCCACCATTTTCTCCCTGCAAATTAATAATAATAATAATTAGCTTGAGGTTTAGTCCAATTACAGAATTAGAAAACCCCATCTATCTTTAAAAATGAAAAATAGTCGTGCATTTTTATTTATATAAATTGCTGCACCTCATAAGTGGTATATTTGTGCACCTAAGAGAACTGCAAATGGTGGCTAAAAAACGATCAAGATTGTCATAGGGAAAAAAAATATATGTATATAAAGACCTCAAAAGCATTTCTTTCTCAAAATAAGGATATTATATCCAGATTTNATTTCTATACATTGCACCACCTACTAGAACTGCAAATGGTGGCTAAAAAACGATCAAGATTGTCATATGGAAAAAAAATATATATATACAAAGACCTCAAAAGCATTTCTTTCCCAAAATAAGGTTATTATATCCAGATTTAAAAATGTTCATATAAATGAAGCAGAAACAGAGTTTTTTTTTTTCAAGGGGGCAGCTGAGAATCACTCCTGGATATTGTTTTAAAATATTCACATAATCACAATCATAATACCTTCCATAATATGCAGCCCAGTGTAAAGCTGTCCACCCACATTTATCACGATAGTCCATTGACAACCCAGAGCATGAATACGGGAGAACAGCCCAGGTATAGCCTAGGATCGCACACAAATGAATTACGCCTAAACCTTGTTCATCATGTTCGAAGATTTTGGACCCTGACAATATTTTCTCCAGTAACCATTCTTGAAGCCTATTCTGTAGAGTCAACTCGAACAAGCTATCTTTTGCCTGGAGAAATGGCATTTTAGCTCCTTCTATCACTTTGGCAAAATTGACCCAGCTATGTGATAAGTCCGTTGTTCGTTCCACAAAAGCTTTAGCTTCTTTCAAGGTGTTTTGGGATACTTTACTGGAAAATACACTGAGGCTCTTTGATGATGAAAATAACAGACGTGCAAGCCTCATCTGAAGTTGAAATTCTTCCCAATTAGATTTATTATCTGCAGTTGTCATCATCCTACTAGCCACTTCTGGTGCACGAACCTCAAAAGTCAACACTTGGCTGACAGGTTTGTGCCCATCAAAACTGAGATAGAGATTAACTAATCCAGGTTTTTGAGGTGAAATTACACAACGGTATACTCCAGTTTGCACGGTTTCAACGGGGACAACTGAGTCTCCACAAGTAAGCTGTAAACTGAAGTCCGTCTGGGGCAGTTGGCCTCCGTTGAAAAACGCAACAACTATTACCTGCATTGAATTCAATCAAGTCAAGAATCTGATCTCTATAGTTGCTATATTATCCTATCCCATTAATATGTGAAGGAAACTAATGAGTTTTTTTTACCAGAGATCTAAGTTAAATTAGTATTTGCAATCAACAACCACATTTTAGTTATAAGGAACAAATAGTAAAAGAAGTTGTGCCTTTTCTTTCCTCTCCTATCTGCAGCAGAGGAAGTTACAGCATGAATTTGATGCTAATATGCACTTACAAAAAATGTGTATGCACAAGGCACAGATTTTTACAAGCTGCAAATAATAAGGTATATTTATTTTTCAACATTACAATTTATTCGCTTTCTCCACCTTAATCAAGAGTGATAATGCGAGTTTATTGGCAGAGACTACTATGTATAAATCACTCATATCTTCCCTTTGACATCATCAAAGGACTGCTATGCCAGCAGTTGGGAAAACCGGCAGTTATCTGAAAACAAAGCCTATGGAGACAATATGGAAATTGATCGTTATTGAAGACCATTAATTGCAAAAGCATTTCTTTCACCTTTGTTTCTTCAGTTGAAAGAGCCCATGAAGGCAAGACGTCAGTTATGTTGAATATCTGGTTCGGAACAGACGAGAGATGATTATCCATCACTGAAGATGTGAAAGATTCATTTCTGGTTGAAATCGAAGGTTCCAGACTTTGACGATCTACTGGTCGTGAAGAGTCGGCATTTACATTTGGCATCCACATTCCCAAACTGTCCTGTGATACCAAACCGTCTTTCCCTAGATTCTTTAAAGAACTGCATGCAACTAATTCCCCCAGCCCTGAAATAAAATTCTCCGAATTCGCATTTGTTTCGCATGGAGCACTCTGGTAGGATACATTGTTTGAGATATTATAGTCAATGCAATAAATCCCAGATGCACCATGTCCTGAGAAACTGTTGCTGGAACTTTCTGGTGACACTTGGTCAGTTGCCAGGGGGTCATCCTGTGCTCAAGAAAGATGATTGCTAAGTTTACTCAAAAGGGAAGTGATGGCTCGTATATTGAAACTTACCTAGTGTACATTAAATCAAGATTAATGTGGAATCTGCAAAATGATTATCTATATGTACGTTTTCCAGTCCATCACTTCATACGTTAACTTAGTGTTTTTCTTTGGGAGTGGAGAACAAGGAGTTGGGGAAGTATTATATTTAATTAATTCGCATGATAACCAATATCTCAATAGCCCTCGAATAAAATATTAATGGCGCGTTGCATGTAATGTTCCTTCCTTTCATTTAGATGTGATAATGAATCAATAAACTATTCTGTGTTCATGCAAGATTATATTCTAAGTAGCCATGGAAAGGTTCTGACAGACACAGAGATGCAAACGCACGCACGTGTTTGTTTGGCAAAATAAGTAATGTGCCTTATTTGTAAACAAATTTACCAGTTGGCTATACAGGTGTTTGTTTGTTATGATTCATGAAATCTAGGGTGGTTATACTGGTGTTCTATGCCTGATATGATACACTTGATTTTACAGAAACAGACCGAATTATCAGCCAACTTACAGTAATTATGCAACCGTTCATGAAAAACTGATTCGCGGACTCAAGGCCTGCAGCTTGTCCTGAAGCTGAAATATTGCATGCATCAAAAGATTTGCTGAGCTGAGCTAGCAGTTCAGTACTACAGTAAACAATCGACATATTAACTATACATACCTTCTTGAGGAGTAATGGGCTTGTTGGAATTATCTGGCACCAAAAGCTCATCCCACTCAAGCGTATTTATTTCGTGAAGTCTTTGCTCATGTGCTTCTATGTTCACGCTCTCATTATGCTCTGGAATATAACAAAAATAAAACTTCAATTTAACCATTGTTCAAACCAACAATTAGTGCCAAACATAATAGTTCTTATTTCTCCAACATTAAAGCAATAACATGTACAGATTTGTGCACAGTACAAGATTCAACGTCAATGAAATATTGCTATTATAGGCCCACCCAAAGAAAAATTTCCTTTTCGAAACACTTAATTTAAATGCTAGAGCAAATTAAAACATAAAAAATATATGATGAGTCATTACCGCTGTCGTTGACCATAAAATTGGGTTCTTCCGACAAACGCCAAGTGGCAGAAGGGTCTGAGGCAACTGAACTAGAATTAGAGTTTCCAGGTGTGGCTGGGCCCGCTGGTGAACCCTACAGGTACGTCAAACATTACTTAAGTAATACTTCTTACTTGAAGTAAAAATTAACAGCTGCAAAGAGACTAGGTGAAATTATGCAACTATATTTTTGCTATTTACAAGTTTGTCAGACCATTAATATTATCGAGAACAAATTAGTGGGCTTCTGTCTACGACTCCTCTTCCTTCTAGGGAGGGACAGAAACGTAAAAAGGGTTACAAAAGGGCATAGCTTACAATTGCCCTTAGAACTGGATCACAACTTCTCAAGTACCCGTAGAGGACACAGGAGATTTATTCTGTAATAGCATCGGCTATTGGTCAGGTTTTTCTTGCTGAGCAAAGATCCCTATTGTTATATCATCGATAAAATTACGTGTTTTCTCTTTTCCGGGTTATTTACTCGTAACAATTGGCCCAGCCTGCCTTATGAATGACACAAATGAAATTCCTAGTTGAAGCCATGGAGAAAGGACAAGAAGAGTCAACACACTAGGCCATCGCAGATCGCAAAATGGGTTTGAATTTGATGATGACTAGATCTCTTACATCATAGTTGATAGTTCTATCAGCCTTGAGGACAAGACTTTCAAAGGGTGGAAAATTGTTACAGACCGTTAATATTATCTAGAATAAATTAGTGGGTTTCAGCCCATGGGGTTAAGGTGCCCAACAGAGTCAATTTTATAGGGTTACTATTCTATTTAAGTAAGTCGCTTTTTCTAGGAGAGAACTAGAGATTTATTTTGCAATGGCATCGGCTCTTGGGCAAGTTATTCTTGTTGGATAAATATCATACTTCTTCATCCTATTATTATATCCTAAATAAAGATATGTGTTTCTTTTCCTGATTCTTCACTCCTAACAAAATCAAGTTTGTAATAAGAACCACTACTTAATATTATAAGTCCCAACAGGTGAAAGCAAACAGTAATCTGTAAATAAACTGATTACAAAAAGACAAACCTCTTGAGTTTCACGATAATGAACAAGGACAATATTTTCTAAGGACCTGCCAACGAACATATGTAGATAAATGTAAGTATTTTGACACTTCAATAATAAAGATAAGAAATGTGGCTAAGGTGCATAATTAGCCTAATAAAAAAATTATAGTTTCATACTTGTCAAGCAGCCAGTAACACCTTCGCACAAAAGTTGGACTGTCTTCTCCATGAGCGTAATATACATGAATCCTTTCCTTATCACCAACCTATATTGCAACAAGAAATCATTGTTTATGTGCACACTGAAAATTCTAATGGATAAGAGATAGATTTTCGGATTCAAGAGCTTTAGTAATGCTATAGTATTCATGCAAAATGTTAAGCTGTAAAAGTTTTTCTTGCACTATAGAAATTAGAAAGTTAATGATACAAGAAACTCACAAGGGAAAATGCAGAGTCTCTTGTACAAGATTTTAACAAAAGATGAACCACATAAGAAATTAATCTACGTATGCATATATACTAAAAGTGATTCTCATCTCTAGACATTCAAGTTGAAACAAGAGCAAAGTTACAATATTTAGTGCAGAAGAAAGCCTTACTTTTAAGTGTTCGTGTGCTTCTTTGACAGTTTTCCCATCTTTTTTCTTTTTCCAGTTATGGCCATCTTTCCGAAAATTGCGCAGCTTCTTGCGGTCAAACAACACAATTGCGCCGCCTGTTTCAACGCAACAAATATACTATTCAGCCAACTCAGGCCATAGTATATTCCGTAAGCCACTTCAACATAGGCATACATCACTATAAGCTCCATTATATAATATTTTTATGAACATTCAACTTCAGCTGATTCCAAATGAAAAAGACATGTGTAAGCATACAAGTGTATTACTTTTTGGCAATTTCATGGGTTTGACATGAACAGTGAAATACTTGTGGTTACAGAGTATGGCATGAATCTCGTTGGGTCTGAGCCATCTGGTTTTAGCTTCCTCTATCATGTTGCCAAAATCCAAATCTGTTATACAGAAAAGGGGGCCATTGTTAACAAACGAACTCTTTTNCAATCAATACATTCAAAGCACAGGTTAAATGACATCATTGTTTTTATCACAGCCCAAATGCCATCTGTGGTAAGTACAAAAGGAAGAATCAATCTGTAACTATTAGTTTCCTATGAAAGCTCAATTTTCTAAGTAATTCACAAAAAAAAAAAAATGCTACAAAACCCTCAAAAACCCACAATCCAACAATTTAACCTTCAACCCAAAAGCGTCGTCAGAACAAGAAATAATCTCACAAGAAGCACAAGGTTCAAGAAACCCACATACGACACTGTATAAGTGGTGGTACCTTCCATGGTGCGAAATCCATGAATCTCTGACTCAACGAGTCTACTGCTCGCCATCTCCATGCTTCAGACGATCGTTTCTCGCAACAAATCACAGCTAATTCCTGGAATAAAAAGATCGATTTTTTCCAATAACTACAGAATACATAAATCATTTGCAGAGCCCATGTAAAAAAAGCATATATCAGCGTAAACACCGTCAATTAAGGGAAAATGAACGGCTTTAAGAAGCGGGGGCCTAATAGAGACGGGATTGAACAGCAACAAGCGTGCACAATATCATGATAGCATGTTTCAGCTTAAGATAATTTCATGGCGTATTTTCCTGGTCAGAGACTTGAAGGGGAGTCTTTGTTTTGAAGCTTGGACAATGCCTTTTTCCATTGGTGCTGCTTTTTTATTTTTTTTTTTATAATTCAAAGCCAGCCTATACGGCAGATGCAACCGCCCCTCTAGAGCGTTTTGCTTTTGACATTTTTCTGAAAAAACTAAAAAAATAAATTCTTCGAAATCAGGCGACTTTCGGTAAAAAAATGTCTGACGACGAGGTATGATTTTTGTCGGCCAGCTGGACCGCCATTGGTAGGCCGACGATTGCGGCTGCTCTCGGCGGCCACGGGCAGGCCAAGCCAGGCCGGTCCGGCCGGTTTTGCCAGTCAACCGATTTTTTTTTATTAGTTAAATTTTATTTATTAAAAAAATTATGTTAGTAAAAAAATTTATGTTATAAATTAGAATTTATGATTACTATGTTAGAACTTTTAAATTTTTATGTTATAAAGTAGAATTGATTATCTTTTAAATTATAATTTATTATTATTATGTTAGAACTTAGAATTGATTATCTTATAAATTAAAATTTATTATTATTATGTTAGAACTTAGAATTTATGTTATAAATAAGAATTAATTATCTTTTAAATTAGAATTTCTAATATTATGTTAGAACTTAGAAATTTTTATTTTATAAATTTGAATTAATTATCTTGTAAAATTATTAACATCGTAATATTTTACAAGTGTCATTCGAAGATTTTTGGAGGGGACGATTGTAATAGCCCAGTTCTATTATTAATAAAATTGACAGTTTAGTTCTGAGTTTGAACTATTTTCTTTTATTAATATTGCTCGTTTCGAGTTCCGAGCCCAGTTATTCAGCTATTCAGTTCTAAGCTCGACCTTAAAGTCGTGAGTATTCTAGGTTAATTCTAGTAAGAAACCGAGTCAGTTCCAGTTATTAATTTCAGTCCATTTCTTTCTAGAAATGGACATCCGTAGTCGGGATTAATTATTCCAAGTCGACGAATAATCGAAACCGAGTATGTTTTCGATAAATCGTCCAAGTCAAGCCGTGTTCGTAACCTAGTATGTTCGGTCGCGAGTCTCGCGCCTGGTTCGCGCCTAGCCAAGTCTCGAGCCCTAGTAGCCCCGAGTCTTGATCAGGCCATAGTCACTTATAGCCTTACTTAGAATTTTCTAAGTATGAGTTTATTATTATCAAGCCCTAGAACAAGTCTATCAGCCAAGAGGAACCCCGCACCGAGCTCGTGCATGGGTTCAAGTCCACTCGCGCCCTAGTGTTCGCGCCTAGTCAATTGCCGAGCCATAGCCATGTGCCTAAGCATAGGCGAGCAATGTGGGAATTTTCCTAAGTGTTGTGGCTTATATGTTCAGCCTTAGAATCCATGTTCTCGGCCCTAATGATGAATAATCGTGTATCTTCTCAACTCGTTTGTCTCGAACTAAGCTTTGCCAAGGCTTCTTTCTCGACGTGTGAACGCCGAAATGTCCAAGTACAAGGTGAGAACCGGTCTACGGGCTAGTGGGAGAGGGCAAAACAGGTATATGGTTTTTTTCGATAGGTGTGGACGACTTGGTTATTAGCCTTATCTTCTCACGGTTTTGAGATGGTTCGGGTCTTAGCCTTGCCAACTCGATTGTATGATAAAACTCTCACGAATTCTAAACACACGGTTTGCTCTTGCGAACGATTTCATTAACTTCAAAACATATGTAAATTCGAATGACATAGGAAAATATTGTAATATCCCATTCAGTAATTAATAAAAGTAATTATTCTAAGTATGAACTAATTACTTTTATTAATGCTCGTTCCTAGTTCCGAGCCAATTATTAAGTTATTCAGTTAAAAATTCGACTTTAAGTCGAAAGTATTCTCGGTTCAATATTATTCAGTAATCGAGCCAGTTCAGTAATTAATTAATTCCGGTCTGTTTATTTTTATAAATGGATTTATAAGACGGGATTAATTAATATAAGATGACGAATAATCGAAATTGAGTATATTTTGATTAATCGTTTAAGATAAGTAGTGAACTGAACCCAAGTATGTTCGGTCATGAGTTGAACTTAATTAAAATATAGTCGAGCCTTAGTACTAAATACTTAGAATTTTTCTAAGTGTTTAAGTCATCAAGATAAGATCATAATATTGAGCCTTAGCATAAGTTGATACAAGTTAAGTCTCGAAGTGCGGTTAAGTATCCATGAACATTTAAGTGATAAATGTTCAAAGAAGTGAAATAATTTATTTAGACATTATAGTCTATTTATATTATTTTAAGAGAAACCGAAATTTTTAGAATTTTCGGTTTTACGGTAATCGTTTGGTTTAAGTCCGAATGTGGTTCCGTAAATGTAGAATATTTCAAGATCATTATAATAGATCCTAAGAAGCAATATGTTCATTAAATTGAAGAAAAACTGTGAGTAAAGAATTTAAATTTTAGAATTTTCAGTTTTACGGTAAACGTTCGTTTTAAGTCCGAATTGAGTTCCGTAAATTGTATTATTCTCGGTTTATTAGCATGATCCAAGACCATATATGAGCATTACTTTTCAGTAAAAGAGTTTTAAAAATCAGCCATTTTCAAAGAAAATGCATAAGTAATAAAAAAGGATGATTTTTGTTATTTTTATTATTTTGTTCCAAAGATTTTTATATGATGAATAGTGACATTTTTTCAATAATATATGGAATCAATTACATCACATTAAGCACGAAATTTTGGTCATCAATTGGTGAGAATGAGATGAGAAAATCACAACAAAGTTTTGCTAAGTCTTTAAGTTAGCATTTTTTTTCAACAATTGGTGACAATTTTATTAAACTTGGTGGAATAAGTTTTATCTACCAAAAAGCTCATTCATGGTTATAAACAGAGGCCATTTTTTATGATTAATTATGTTTGGATAAGAATACAAGTTAATCATAAAATAGCTTATGATTAATTAAGTTTATAAGTTTAAATTGTTTATTTTGTTCATTTCTTCACTCCATTATGATGTCTTGCCAATTTGTGCCTATAAATAGAGGTCTAAAAATCAGAGTTCTCACACCAAAGTTAAGTACCAAAAGTTATATAAGAGTGTAAGAGATATAAGTAGTAGAAACTTTGGAGAAGTGAAGAATTTGAAGTAAAAAATCAAGTTTTTATTCTAGCAAGAAGGATGTAATTTATTTATCTTAAAGTTACATGCTTATGTTCATGTTTTGATAAATGAGTTTTACATGTTTATAAGTATGTATATCATGATTTAGAAGTTGAGATTATAATTGATTCTATGAATACAAAGAGTTAACGTTGTTCGAAATCAATTATATGATATATGTGCTTGATTTGATGAGATGTTGATAAATATATGAATAAGCTGGAATAGTATGATTTAAATGAATGATTCTTATGTAAAGGAGGAGTACATGAGAACAAGAATTAAGTGATTTGGCAAAGTATAGCTTGAGTTATGAATTTTTGAAGATGAACATGCAAGATGAATTTTATGTTCACTATGACTTTAAATTCTAATAACTTGATGTATATGCATGCTAAAATTATGAAATTTTTATGACATGTCTAATTATGAGTTGAGATTATGACTGTTAAATTTCATGATTTGAAGATGAGAAATGAATGAGTTATGATAATTACAAGGCATATATGTAAAGATGAGTATATATGCAAGAATATTCATGATATGATCAAGTTATTAAAGTGAGAGTAGTATGATCAATTCTCATATAAGTGATGAGCAATTTGGCAAAGTTTTAGTTTAATATGTTGAGTATATAATCTTATAAAGATTATATTAAGTATGACATATTAATATTATGATTAAATGTTATGATTAAAAGTTGAAGTAGGACTTGAGTTTATTTTCACTTTCAAGTTAATTAAGTGAAAATTTAATATAAGCTAATATTTAAAATTTGGAAGATATGATTTATATAAGGTTAAGTAATTAACCTTGAGTAAAAGTTTAAGAAAAAGTTAGGATGTTTGATGACTTAATAATAATTTGGGACATATTAAGCTTATTGAATATCTTTAAGATTCAGATAAGTAAGAGTTAAATCTTATTGAGTATACGAGCGTTGTACTTAGTATATTTGTTTATATTTTATGTAGCTTTCAGATATAGCTACCCAAGAGCAACACTTACAGTTTTCAAAAGTTTTCAAAAGAAGAAAGGTGGGAACCCAGACTGGGTATTACATTGAGTATAATATTGATATCATGTTCGAGGTATGTATACAGTTTAAGTTTATACGCTTGAGATGAGGAGGCATTCAGTTGTCTCAGAGTATATCCTAAGTTCTGATGGAGGCCGTTTGAGTTGCCTTGAGAAATATCCATCAGATTGTGCACAAGTATCCGATCAGATATCGGCCAGATTCAGTTTAAGTTACTGGAACAGATTTCCAGTCCATATATATACCAAAGAACATGATATTGTATTATTATTGCTGTTTACTTTAGTATGGGTGATTTCGGGGTACAAGAGGATCAATACTCACCCCCATTGTGTTTTTCAGGTAACATGGTCGGGCCGGAGGTGTGAGCTCGAGAGGTGGTGGTGGTGGTCGTGCACTTATTTCAAGGGACATTTATTAAATATTTGATATGTCTGTATAATAAACCACGTTTTTAAGTATTTCCGCTATGCACATTAAGTATTGAACTTGCATTTTTAATAAATTTCAGATTTCAAGTTTTTACCATTTCGAGAAGTATGAATATGGTACAGTTAAATGCAAGTTTAAAGGAAATCTGTTTTCTGTATGTCTAAAGAGGTATTAGACAAAAGTTTAAAGATAAATAGATTTTCAAGAAGATGAGTTTGAGTAGCATCTCGAGTTAGTCGCAAAATATTTCGAAAGAGTTATAAGTATTTTCGAAGTAAAAGTTGCGAAAAATTTACTCTGATGAGCGGGGTGTTACAGGTGGTATCAGAGCTAGAGCAAGTGCTCTGTATACTAAAAGTTTAAGTTTCAAAAAACAGTTTCAGGAAAACCGACCACACCACACTCACACCTCGCCGACTACCAGGTAAGTGTTGTTAAAAGTTTTTATAAAAGTTTTTAAATATATTCAAATTTACTAAGTCTATGCTCAATAAGAATTCA